TTTAAGTGGCATTCTTTTCCTTAGGACTTTTTATGTATACCTGTTGACTGTTGTGTACATTTTAGCAAATCTAAAAGAGTTAGTGTACTAAATCAGCAGATACCTAAATTTCTCAGCTTATGTGTCTAATTAAAATGAGGCTAAGATGGTATAACAATGTTTTATTGCTTTGTCCAGCTACAACTTCTCATTTTTTTCTCCATGTCTATCTTCCTGTTTCACTTTAGTTTATTCTTATTTTTTTATTGAGATCTATTAAAAACTGGCTTACATAATAGCAAATTTCTTGAAGAATTTGCCTGCTTTATACAAAGTTAGCACTTTTAAGATTCTTTTTAAGAGAAGACATTTAAATTGAAGAAAAATTCTCCCAACAATAGATATTCTATCAGTCCAAGTATTTACTTCCTCAGTTTTGATCGATATTTTTTGTGTATGTTAATCATCACAGAAACAGTGATTTTGGTGTTTTGTATTTTGTCGCTTTAATGGCTTAAGACGTTGTACATTTTATTTTATTTTATTTTTTAACCCATGCAGTTAAATTTTTCCAAGCTAGAGCATTTGTGTTGAACAGTAACACTTTATACATGTGTATATATATATGTGCATGTTTATTTTGGCCTTTCTTGAGGGATGCTTTTAGACTTGTTTGCAAAAAGGCAGTTTTCTTTTTCTTTGCTGCAGCTGTTTATTTTGCAGAATAATAGTGTGTGCAAGTTTGTGAGCAAATGAAATATGGAGATTCAATCCACTGGATTTTTATATCATATCTATGCCAGAATCTGTATTTCATATAACTTATTTATTTTGAATGGAGGTAGTAAATTCATAGCTGTTTTGATTTTGCAATAAATAAACCACTAGGTTCCATATTGAACAAATTTTTATCTCAAATATCAACTATCAGTGTGTGTGTGTGTGTGTGTGTGTGTATTGGTACAACTAATTCCTAATTTTAGTGTTAAACATTTGAAGAAAACCCTTTCTTATAGATGGTTGGTGTCCATATGGCTACTTTACAATAAAGAACTGTAAGTGATATTTGGAAATTGCAAACCTGGAATTAGGAGACATAATTATTCCTTCAAGTTGTTTTTTTTTTTTTTTTTTTTGAGATGAAGTTTTGCTCTTGTTACCCAGGCTGGAGTGCAATGGCGCGATCTGGGCTCACCACAACCTCCGCCTCCTGGATTCAGGCAATTCTCCTGCCTCAGCCTCCTGAGTAGCTGGGATTACAGGCACGCACCACCATGCCCAGCTAATTTTTGGTATTTTTAGTAGAGATGGGGTTTCACCATGTTGACCAGGATGGTCTCGATCTCTTGACCTTGTGATCCACCTGCCTCAGCCTCCCAAAGTGCTGGGATTACAGGCGTGAGCCACCACGCCTGGCCTCCTTCAAGTTTTATAGACTATCGCTAGGGAGATTCCAAAGCCATAGCTATTGCACGGCAAACCTAGGATAGAGAGGTAGTGTGAGTGCTGGCAGACCAGCTGCAACTTTCCTATACAGTGAAAAAGGCTAGTGAAACGAATACAGCCCAGACTTTTAAAAATCATACGTTCTCAGCAATCTCCACAAACTAGTAGGTGTCCTGGCTGTCTCTGTTATAGTCTCTCTTTCTACAGGTGTGGCCTCAAATGAACTGCAGCTATCCTGGTGTTCCCGTGGTGGCACTTTGTATGAAAAAGGGCATGTACTCCAAAATATTTTTGTAGGGTCTTTGGCCCATCACCAAAGAGTATGAAAGAATCCAATATAGAATTTTTCTTACTGATAGCAGTTACTCATTGCAGTAAAATAAAATATGATCCCAGGGGCGAATCTTGGAGGAAAACAAAAAAGGGCTTTTCCACTTCACAGTTATGCCCATTCATAGTGTGTTTCTGAACAACAATTTTATCAACTGTATCATGATCATCAAAACTCACAAGAGGAAATCCTCTTTTTTCCACTCTGCCTATCTTCCATAACTTCTATCGTTTCAATCTTGCCATACTTTTCCAAGTAGTCTCTCAAATTATACTCTTCTGTATCTTCAATACCACCAATAAAAATTGTCTTCACTGTTAGATGGGCACCAGGCTTTACAGAATCCTCTCTAGAAACAGCTCTCTTTGGTTCCACCACACGCCCACCAACCTTGTGTGGTCGAGCACACTGCTGCTGCATCCACCTCTTCAACACAAGAATAAGTCACAAACCCAAAGCCCCTGGAACATTTTGTGTGTGTGTGCGGGGGGGTCTCTCATTACCACACAATCTTTGAGTGTGCCCCACTTCTCAAAATGTTCTCTTAAACTATCATCCGTAGTTTCAAAGCTCAGACCACCAATAACACTATTCTCAAATGCTCTGGTTCCTTTAAATCGTGGTCCTCCTCCCCCCAGCGGCAACGGCTTAAAGTGACTAGGCGGGGCTTTACCTCCATTTTGAGATCGAACTTTCCTCTTCCAATTTGAGCTCAATATCCGAAAAAGCTTTTAAATCTTCATTATTTAGGTCTCTAGGTAATACGTCAACTCCTCTGGGAGGTCTTCCTTCCCTAATGATCCCACCAAAATTAGACACCCGTATCCCTAAGTCACCCAACCTTGCTATATTTTTTTCATATTTATCACTTCCTGAAACTATACTTACACATATCCTTTCTTTCCTCAAGTTCTTGAGAGTGGGCCTAGAATAGTGCCTAGCACTTAGCAGATGCTCAATAATTATTTCTTTTTTTTTTTTTTTTGAGATGGAGTTTCGCTCTTTCCAGGCTGGAGTGCAATGGCGCGATCTCGGCTCACCGCAACCTCCGCCTCCTGGGTTCAGGCAATTCTCCTGCCTCAGCCTCCTGAGTAGCTGGGATTACAGGCATGTGCCACCATGCCCAGCTAGTTTTTTGTATTTTTAGTAGAGACGGGGTTTCACCATGTTGACCAGGATGGTCTCGATCTCTCGACCTTGTGATCCGCCCGCCTCGGCCTCCCAAAGTGCTGGGATTACAGGCTTGAGCCACCGCGCCCGGCAATAATTATTTCTTGAGTATTCACTCAAGAAATACTATTATTTTCCTGATTGCTGAGGCTTGAAATTTCAGGCATTACTGGATGAGCTTTTTCTGATCTTATTTAATAACAGAACAATAAAGAATTTAGGATAGCAGTTTAACTGAAACACATTAACACTTAAATATGAGCATAGCTGGCCAGACTTGGAGGCTCATGCCTGTAATTTCAGCACTGTGGGAAGCAAGGCAGGAAAACCACTTGAGCCCCCCCAAAACAAAAAATTAGCTGGGTGTGGTGGTGGGCACTGTAGTCCCAACTACTGGGGAGGCTGAGGTGGGAGGATGGCTTGAGCCCAGGAGGTCGAGACTGCAGTGAGCTGTGATCACCCTACTGCACTCCAGCCTGGGAATGCAGAACAAGTGAGACACTGACTCAAAAATAAATATGAGCATAATAGCAAATATTTCCCTGATTATTTTCCAGTACTAAAAAATCTACCAAAAAAAGGCCGGGCGCGGTGGCTCAAGCCTGTAATCCCAGTACTTTGGGAGGCCGAGGCGGGTGGATCACGAGCTCAAGAGATCAGGACCATTCTGGTCAACATGGTGAAACCCCGTCTCTACTAAAAAATACAAAAAATCAGCTGGGCGTGGTGGCACGTGCCTGTAATCCCAGCTACTCAGGAGGCTGAGGCAGGAGAATTGCCTGAACCCAGGAGGCGGAGGTTGCGGTGAGCCCAGATCGCGCCATTGCACTCCAGCCTGAGTAACAAGAGCGAAACTCCGTCTGGGGGGGGGGGGGGGGGGGGAAATCTACCAAAAAAACAAGATATGCTGGGTTGGGTGGCTCACGCCTCTAATCCCAGCACTTCGGGAGGCCGAGGCGGCTATCCTGGCCAACACGGTGAAACCCATCTCTACTAAAATATAAAATTAGCCAGGGTTGGTGGCGCATGCGTGTAGTCCCAGCTACTCAGCCTCGGGACACAGCGAGAGTGTCTCAAAAAAAAAAAAAAAAAAAAAAGGCAAATAACGCAGCTTTAAAGTGAGCTTCTAAGACTCTATATATAAAGAATTTTGAGGCCGGGCGCAGTGGCTCACACCTGTAATCCCAGCACTTTCGGAGGCAGAGGAGGGTGGATCACTTGAGGTCAGGAGTTCGAGACCAGCCTGGCCAACATGTCGAAACCCCATCTTTACTAATAATAGAAAAATTAGCCAGGCGTGGTGGCACGTGCCTGTAGTCCCGGCTATTTGGGAGGCTTAGGCAGGGGAATGAACCTGGGAGGCGGAGGTTGCAGAGAGTGGAAATCGCACCACTGCACTCCTCTCCGCCCCCAAAAAAAGAATTTCGGTTGTTTTCTACACTAAAAGCACTGTGGAGTAGAAATGTTCACTCTGCAAATGACACAAACTTCACAGTTATGTTACTGAACAATCTCAGCTCCTTAAGAGAAACTCAATGGGAACAGTATTTTACCCTGATTACCTCCTTTCAGACAACACTGGGTGGGTGGTAGACGCACGAAACCCCCAACTCATGAAGTCGAGCGCGCCCAACAAGTTAACCCAGAAGGTAAACTTGTTGGGATACCGCAGCTAGAAGAAGCCAGAGAACTCTCCTTGGGCTAGGGACTGACTTCAAGAAAATAACGAATCTGAGCGGACACGAGGGAAGCAAAAAGGAATAGCGACAGGGCTGCCATGCTCCTAACTCCACCCTCCCGCGCTCAGCCTGGAGAAGGCCCAGTCTCGCTGGCTACTGCCCCTCCTTCCACCTCTTCCCAAACCCACCGAGCGGCGCCAGGAAAGGCCCCGCCGCCCTCTTCTCCCCTCCCCCAAACCAGGAGCTGGGGAGGCCCAAGGAGGTTAAGAGCTTCCGTTCCTTCCCCGCCCAGAAGTGAAGAGGTGGGAAGTGGAATTGCGAGTTCGTCCTGTCTCGGCCTCCCTCTCCCTCCACGCTTACCCGGAGCTCCGTTTCCGCCCCAGCCCGAGACTTACTCGTCAGCCCGGCAGCCACCGCAGCTGGGTCCCAGCGTACCGCCACAGCCCCTATTCCAGGGCCGCCCCCCCCACCCCCAGCTGCCAGCTCCCGTGGGTTCCGGGGCAGGAGGAAGAATTACTTCCGCTGGGTCAGACCGCTTTCTACGACGCGCGGGAGATATGTACCTGGTGAAGCGAGGACGCAGAGCGTGTTACTACTTCCGTCTGGAGGAAGTGCGTACGCCCCACTCTCTTCTCCTATAGTAGGCCAGCCTATGAACGACATCGGCAAATTTCGACCAATCCGAACCTAGCTCTTCTGGATTCCCAGAATGCAGCGCCGACCCTGATCCAATATCTATAGAGACGCATCCTTAAAGAGGCTCTGTGGAGTCCGAGTCAGCACTGCATTCTGGGATTCGTAGTTTCTTCGGTGGATACCGTCGGCGTTGCGACCAAGGCAGCCTTGCATCCTGGGACTTGTAGTTTCTCCTACTGCGTGTTAAGATTTTGATGGTTTTAGAGATTGTCCTTTCCTCTCATGTAGGGGTACGCTTGGAGGTGGGAGACTGCAGAGCAAAGATTGAAAAGTGGGAGGGCGGTTTATTTGCTAACGGGATCGTGCTCTTTATGAAGCAGTATCTGTCCGTTGTGAAAAATAGCTGTGCGTTCTGAAAAGCCAGCACAGCAATAACTAGCTCAATCGGCTGGCCTCATTTCCTCTCTTCCCGGTAGAATTCAATGTTAACTGAAAACTAACCACGCCCCCACTCCACCCCCGAGGGTCCTGCCTCTGCCTCTGGATTTGCTCAGATCTTGGATTCTGAGCTCATGAACAGAAAATCCAAGAAGTTCCTGTGGTAAGATACACAGGCCCCTTTCCTGGAAGGCTGAAACAGCTAAATAAAGTTCTCCATCTACTGTTTTCCAGGAGTGTCGCCCGAAGAGAATGTATGTAGGGCCAAGACAACATTGCAAGTTGCTGAACGAGGCACTCTGTGTGCTCAAAAAATAGATAATACGCTATCAATAGTATTGAACTAATTGAGAACTTGCCTAAAAGGCTTTTTTCTTTTTTAAATTTAGTTGATTTGGTAGGTAAAATGCATTGGTTTTTTTTTTTTTTTTTTTTTTTAGAATTAATTGCAATAATCAAGGAGATTGTCCTGTATGCACTTTTCAAAGACTTTGTAGAAATCAGAACAAATATTTTTTGGCCGTAATGGTAGCTCGAAGTAGAGTTTGGTGGGGAGGCCAGGCGTGGGGATGCAGATGAAGAGGCTGTAGGCCCATTTTCTTTTTTTATTTCATTTTCTTCTTTTACTGAGAGGGAGTCTTGCTCTGTCATCCAGGCTGGAGTGCAGTGCTGAAATCTTGGCGCCTGTAGCCTCCACCTCCCAGGCTCAAGCAATTCTCGTACCTCAGCCTTCTGAGTAGCTGGGATTACAGGTGCACACCATCACGCCTGGCTACTTTTTAGCGTGTTTTTCGTAGAGGCAGGGTTTCACCATGTTGTCCAGGTTGGTCTCAAACTCATGACCGCAAGTGATCTGCCCACCTTCACCTTCTTTTTTTTTTTTTGAGACGGAGTTTCGCTCCTGTTACCCAGGCTGGAGTGCAATGGCGCGATCTTGGCTCACCGCAACCTCCGCCCCCTGGGTTCAGGCAATTCTCCTGCCTCAGCCTCCTAAGTAGCTGGGATTACAGGCACGTGCCACCATGCCCAGCTAATTTTTTGTATTTTTAGTAGAGACGGGGTTTCACTATGTTGACCAGGATGGTCTCGATCTCTTGACCTCGTGATCCACCCGCCTCGGCCTCCCAAAGTACTGGGATTACAGGCTTGAGCCACCGCGCCCGGCCCCACCTTCACCTTCTAAAGTGCTGGGATTACAGGCATGAGCCACTCTGCCCGGCCTAAAAACATCCTTAGAATCATACTAAAATCCCATTAAAGTAATTTATATTTAACAAATGTCTCTAAATTACTGGAACTGGAAAATCCTGCTAACATAAATAACAATTCTATGTAAATCTATAGTACAGCGTTTTCAGAATATAATCTCATTTTATCTATCTAGAAATTTCGAGGAATGGATCAAATGTTTTTATTTTCATCTAGTTATAATATCTGTAGGGGAAACAGCTTTACAGAAGATAAAGAAATTCTAGTTCTCTCAATATACTTAAGAAAAACATTTTTATGTGAAAAATTTAAATATATCAGCAAAATAACAGAGTGAATATTGATGGTGAATGAATTACCATAAACAGAAGAGTTTTAAAAATATAAGTAGGCCAGGTGTGGTGGCTCAGTTTTATCCCAACACTTTGGGAGGCCCAGATGGGAGGATCCCTTGATTCCAGGAGATCAAAACCAGCCTGATCAACAAAAGGAGACACTGTCTCCACTAAAAATACAAAAATTAGCCGGGCATGGTGGCACAGCCTATAGTCCCAGGTACTTGGGAGGCCTAAGTGGGAGGATTACTTGAGCCTGCGAGGTCGAGGCTGCAGTGAGCTCTGATTATACCACTGTACTTCAGCCTGGGTGACAGAGCAAGACCCTGTCTCAAAAACAAAATAAAAGGTGGGCACTGTGGCTCACCCTTGTAATTCCAGCACTTTGGGAGGCTGAGGTAGGCAGATAGCTTGAGCCTCAGGTGTTTGAGACCAACCTGGGATATATGGTGAAATTCCATCTCTACTATTTAATATATATATATATATATATATAAATATATATATATAAATTACTTAAACTATTTAAAATATATATATTAAAAGAAACAAATATAAGTAGAAGCTAACTTTTTATAAAATAAAGTTATTAATATAGAAGTGTTATCATTATCTCCTCCTTCTGGATACTCCCTCCAATAGTAGACAGTATTTGGAGTTGCCAACATTATCGTATTGTTCTATTTATTTATTTTTATTTGTTTTGAGACAGGGTCTAACTCTGTCACCCAGTGCAGTGGTGCAATCAGGGCTCACTGCAGCCTCAACCTCTTGGGCTCAAGTGATCCTTCTGCCTCAGCTTCCCAAGTAGCTGGGACTACAGGCAGGCACCACCATGCCCAGATAATTTTTAATTTTTTTTTTGTAAAGATAGGGTCTCACTTAGTTGCCAGGCTGGCCTTAAACTCCTGGAATCAAGGGATCCTCCCACCTGGGCCTCCACATATTACTGGAATTGCAGGCGTGAGCTCCCGCCCCTGGCCACACATTATTTTAAACTATGAATTTGTTCCTCTCCGATGCAAATAATATGACAAATCTAAAACAGTTATAGTTCTGTAATGGTAAACAAAAGTGTGTCGCTATTACTAAGATGCTCATCCTTTAAGACTAAGCCGAATGTGAAGCCAGCCTGGAGACATTCTGAGGCAAAATTAATCATATTCTTTGTACTTTTGTGGCATGTTTGTTCTTTTTTTGAGATGCCGGGTCACTTTGCGGTCTAGGCTGGACTGCAGTGCTTTGGTCTTGGCTCACCGAAGCTTCGACTTTGAGCTCAAGCAATCCTACCGTTGTCTCAGCCTCCTGGGTATCTGGGACTACAGGCACTCACTACCATGTGCCGCTTAGTTTTGTTTTAGGTTTTTTGGTGTCTTTTTTTTTTTTTTTTTTTTTTTTTTTTTTTTTGTAGAGACGGGGTCTCCCTGTATTGCTCAGGCTGGTCTCAAACTCCTGAGATCAGTGATCCTCCTGCCTAAGCCTCCCAAAGCTGTGGGATTACAGGTGCAAGCCACCAAGCCCGGCTACATTTTGTATATTGCGGTGTCTTAATTATATTACATTATATTGTAGCCCATTTTCAGGTGTTTCCTCCTCTATTTAAGCACCGTGCATTCCCAGTTTTATCTAGTATCTTTGTATTCTCTGCTCCTAGCTCAGTCCTGGCAATAGGCACTCAGCGCCAAGTAATGAATCAATGTGTATATGGATGTGAATGATTTCCGAAGACAAATCTGATAAGACGTATCAATATTACATGAACAAATTCCATTTATTTTCCTTCAACCCGATGATTGAATTAAGTTATCATTCATTTTTGTTCAAATAGTATATTCTTCCTTCTGTGCCAACAGGCTAGAATCATTTTCCGCAAAGAAAACCGTTTTTAGGGCTTAAAAAGTGTCGTCCAGGAGAAAAAACGATTTAACTCTGGATTCTAGGCTTTGTCATTCTCACACAGCCCTCTAGCCTTCCCCTCTGCCCTTCCACACTGTTATAAATATGATAGAACTATAGAAGGAGGGAGCCGCTCAGCCAACGACAGAGCGGCGAGCTCACAGCTCACCAGGCAGGTTACCCGGACCGCCGGGAAGGCAACAGGCGGGAGGCAGATTCTGCGCACGCGCCGACGGCGGCCCGCCGGGCGGCCCGGGGCTGGGCGTGCGCCGCTTTTGCAGCAGTCGGGTGGGAAGCCGGGTCTCTTCCGCTTGGTCTGCTGAAGCTGCGGCGTTCGCAGCCGCTCGTCGCTCGCGGGATGCTCTTTCTGGCGTTAGGCCGCCCGTGTGCGGTCGAACTGCGGCTCGGCGGGAGGAGGACGGCATTGTGGGCGGCCGCAGCGTTCCCAGGCCCCAAGGCCTTTGTCTCTCGGGCGGCCTTCTGCAGCAGGCTCTCAGGGCCGGTCGCCGGCGGGAGCACGGGACCCTGGGGAGCCGCGCGCCTTCTCCAGCGTCCGGGCCGAACGCAGGTCGGACGTCAGAGGGCTGGTGTCCCGAGTGAGGCGGGGAGGGCGGGCGTCGCGTCAGGCCTGGGGAGCCCCGGCGGCTCTCCGCGACCTTTCCTGGTTGTCCTTGACTGGAGCGCGTGGGAGCCCCCTCGGCGGGGCTTGCAGAAGCAGCAGTCCGAGGGCCCCCGGGATGCTCAGCATCCGCGATCTAGGAGAACGGCTGGAAAGTGCTTACTTTTATGGTGGTTCCAAATCCAGCGGGTTTTGTGGTGACAGCTATATGTAGTTCCTTTTCTATCCTCGAGCAGAAGCTTAGAAGTGTAACTTTGCAAAGAAATTGGATGCAGCACCTTGGACTAGAACGGAGAGCCAGGTTAAACCTGACTTTGAGCTGTACTTTTAAGACTTACTTTGGTCTCTGGGAAAAGGGGTCAGGCAGATGTTAATTCTTTAATTTTGATCTGAATAAATTGTCTCCCAATTCTACCCTGTAAAATATCAGGATTGGCGAACCTGCTTAAAA